TATCCCCTGTGTGCCTTGTCGACTCAGTTTCAAAAATTAATATCTCGTTAAATATTGCGAATTTTGCAAAATGGTAGAGGACTTTTCGATTCAGTTTAGTCCATTCTATCTACCCATGAGCGGTGATACACCTATTAAAAGACACCCTGTATAATTAATATTCAATAAAAGTTAAATTTAAATTTAAAACTATGTAACAATATTGAAAAAAAAATTGTTAAATTTTGTTTTATCTGGAATTGAACCGCGGACAATCTAAAATCTTTGCCTCACTAAACTTAAATCAAATTTAAAGATTAATTAATTATTTCAAATATTACATCTTTATAACGTACATCTAAATATATAAGCGCGGATGCAAATTCATAAGTACATTGATTACAAATCTTACATACATATCCCTACGTAACAATTTTTGAGTCGCTTAAGTGAACGCATCAATCTGAATGACCATGTTAATATACATATTAAATTTAAAATAAAACTGATAGTTAGGTTACTCTGCTTTTTTATGACATACAAATTACAGCCAAATTACAGCTATTTTGGCTTTATTTTAATTTCTATCCATGCGCATGCGCGGTACGCGGTACACGTGCACGCTTGATGTATGTACATAGTTTTCACAGCGACTTTACAGCTATTAATACAGCTAAAATAGCTAAAGTTGAATTTTGGCTTTCATTATAGTTTTCATAGCGACTTTACAGCTATTAATACAGCTAAAATAGCTGTAGCTAGATTTTGACTTTTTCATTAGCTATTAAAACGTTCCTGCAATTAAAAATCCAACAAAATAACTTTTCTTACCAAATAGCTGTATTTAATGCTGGTGGGACGTTAAACTAGCCACATTTTTGCTGTCAAAGCCAATCCAGCTAGACAATGCTACTTGGGTTTGTAAATGATCTAAACTAAACAAGGAATTTTAGTGAATTAAACTTTTGTTGCACCAGAGAGATATTCTGCGTAACAAATTATAGCTGTGAAAAATCCCGTAGAAATTGTAAGCTAACGTTTTACATTATTTTTGCACATTTTTCTAGACGGTCAGCTGGCGACAGACGAGGTCTTCAATCCGGATAAATCGAAGGACGTATCATCAGAGAGTAAACGGAAAGAGGAGATCAGTGACAGGGAGAAGGACAACAATCAGGAACCACTTATGCTCCAGATCAGGCTTCAGATGTTAAATTATTTGATGACTACAATCGCGGATTTTAGAGAGGCAAATATGTGCAACATCTGTGTAGAACGCCGTCGTAACGTCGCCTTTTTATGCGGGCACTGCGCATGTGAACACTGCGCCGAACAACTGAATACCTGTCACATATGCTGCAAGACGATTACAAAGAAGATTAATTTATATATTAGATTATCTGCAAATCAACAATCGCACCAGAACGTTGATTACTACGCGGTGTCCATGTGTACAGCGAGTCTGGTAAGTAAAGATCGGTGACAGGATCAGTAATGATAATGATAATAATAATAATAATAATAATAATAATAAATTGGCCTTGATATGTCCATTTTAAAACAATTTGGATGTTCTAACACAGCTTAGAACAAGAGATATTTATTCGTAGGAATTTTTTTACTCGCTATGTTGTACGTTTCTTTCGAAGCACTCTGTTTGCCCAATGAGAAACTCTTTCAGCCGTGAAGTGTCGGCGTAAGCGAATATTCATCAATAGATAAGGACACACGCTTTACGTCGCATACTGATGAAATTAAACTGCCAAAATTTACATTTCATTTCCGCAAACAATTTGTACAAAAGAGACGAAGCTCTTATATCATACCAAATTTCGAACTATAGTGAGTCAGATTTGTGCGTAACAAAATCGCGTTTGCCCGGACACGAGATAGTTTGAGCTCATGTTACCTTTTATTTTTTTGTATGAATTAGTTAAGTAATCTGTTATTAAAGATTAACGAATACCAAATACGAGAGGTATTTTGTGCCTCGACGAACACGCGCGCGCGATGTATGTACATTAGGGTGGACCTTATTTTTGACTTTTGAATTTTTTTCACGATGCCCCCTAAAGTTGTTCCATTTGATGAAAAAAAAAATTGTGTAAAAGCTGAACTCGATCGGACAACGGGAAGACGTGGCACATATATCTAACTTGAAGTTTTTAAATTAATTCTGGGAACACTTTGTAAATATCAAGTTTGTTTTTTACAAATATTAAATGGCAATATTTCCATAATGTGCTTCAAAGAAAGAGAGAAAAAGAGAAAAACATCTGAGTGAATTAACTCTTAATTTAAAATTCTTTTAAATTTTATTTTAGTATAGATTTATGATTTATATTTTTAAAATTTAGTGCATGAAAACTTTATAATTCAAAACTATCGACGAATAGACATTTTTCTCCTAAACTTTCTAAAAAAAGTAATTGCAGCTTGTTCAATGAAATTGATATAAAATTGATATGGAAATTGTGAAAACGCTTAAAGTCGTAAATGACACAGCAGAACGAAAAGTTAAGCTTATGCAGGATTTTAATCAAATTTTGTCAAGAGATGAGGAGAAAAAACAATTCATTTTTCATATCGTATCACATTAAAGAACTCAGTATCCAAATGTCCAAAATTTACTCTTATTAAGGATTTATAAAATTGCAGATTTAAATATTACAATGGATTGTAAAATATATAGATGCAAACAATATATGATATCTTTATTTTCCTGTTTGCTTATAAATATAAAAATATAATATATTTCGTATACACATATATAATATATATATACGATATATTTTGTTAAAATACGATTCAAATATACTATATTTATTAAAAAAACATCATTAGTTAACATTTACTAAGAAAATCATTTAATCTTTATTCAGAATTCTTTTTACAGGATTTCCCCATTTTTTGTAAAAAAAATATTTATTTCAACTTTAACAGGATTGTGCCACGTCTTTCCGTTATCCGATCGAGCTCAGCTTTTACACAATTTTTTTTCTCACCAAATGGAACAACTTTGGGAGGCGTCGTGAAAAAAATTCGGAAAAAATTTTTCACCAAGTATAAATAAAGTCCACCTTAATGTACATACATACATCATGTGATTGTACAATGTATGCTTTCCTCCCTCACGAATCGGCGTTTTAGTTTGTGCTTTATTCTGTCCATTTTTTATAGAAACGTTTGTACATATCGCCACATTATTATGGGGGGAAAAAATGAAGAATACTTTTTCCACGTGTTCGAAAGCTGTTTGAAAACTTCTTCACGCGCAGTAGAAGAAAAGAGGGCATATTTGGATAATTTTTAATTCTTATTCGTTTCAATTTTTAGATTTGTTGTAATTAAGATTTTTTATATTAAATTTTTTGCTGAGAAATCTCTTGTTGGTTGGTAAAGTTTTATAAATTTCTTCGTCACTTTTTAAAAATATGTTATTATAGTAAAACTCAAGATTTTATATTGTAACGTAATATTTGATAAGACCCGATGATTGATGTGAATTAAATATCATCGCGACGGAATGTTTTTTGTGTTTTAGACATTCCGTGAAAAACGGCGAAAATATCTATTGATTCGTATTGTGCGAGTCTGATGCGACGTTTAATGTACTCGTATACCCTTTTTCCTCGATCATCTTTGCATCGTTTGATGAACGTTCTGCGTAATAAATAAGCCACGCTAAAGAAAAACAATTAGTCTTATAATCATTCGATTAGAGAATTTTCTAGGTAGAATAGTTGTACTCGTTTGTATGAAGTGAATGAGTACGACAGCACTGGAACGAATAATTAATTTTAAGCGCGCTTTCCGACACGAACGAACTTTCGAGAGAAAGTAAAGCATGTAATAAACTGATGCCGACGATTGTACCAAGGTACAAACTTATTATTATAATCATTGTTACTTATTAAAAGTTTACATTCGTCAACAAAATTATCGCATAGGTAATTAAATTTATATACAAATTTCGCATTACTTTGCGAAAAATGATCGTATCAAAAAGTTTTCTTCTTTATTCTCAAGGGTAGAGTTTGTATTTAAAAAAGTTTTTGATAAATTTTGGATTTATCTTTCCCTTCTCGCTTTTCAAAAGTAAGGACGTTACATCTTCATAAAGTTGCATAATTTGGCGCTTTCTACGGGAAAATGAATTTTTATCACAAATGTCATAATAACCATCGTAAAGTTTGAATTTTTGTTTTTAAATTAAAAGAAAGTAAAGCTTTGTACAATTTTTTTTGCGGAGTTACATTATCAAAGTTTATATTATTCCATTTTTGTTTAATTATACTACCAGCATTAGCATTATCTGCCTAATGTACACCATAGGGAGGTTGCTATTGGTTAAATTTTGCACATTGTGTGTGTGTGTGTGTGCGTGCGTGTGTGCGTGCGTGCGTGCGTGCGTGCGTGCGTGCGTGTGTGTGTGCGTGTATGCTATGCTAGATGAAATAAAGAAGACAATGTAAATAATGTGAGAGTAACAAAGTACATCGACAATTTTTAAATGTTAAATTGAATAAAAACATTTTATCAGCGCCAATGTTTTTTACATAAAAAATTTATTCTCTCACTTTGTACTTTTACTTCTTTAATTCTTTGTTGTAATATATGAGTTGAATAAGGTAATTTGGTACGTATTACAATTTTGTGATGTAAATATTTTAAAGGATTAAGTAATTGTTACTACTTGAGTTGAAATAGAAAGAATTAAATGGATACAAAAATTAGTCATCACTTGGATTGAGCAAAGTAACACATTTGTAAAAAATTAAAACTATTATCACTTGGAATAGAAGGATCCTTCAATGGAAATACAAAGATGCATACCATTTAAGTTATATTTTTAGAATTTTTTACTTCTGTAAGATTTTTTTTATAATCAAATGTGAAATAATTGCCTTAGAGAGTGTTGACATGGGTGTGTGAATTAATTCTTATGTACAATATCCAACCACACATGATCTGCGTCGCACGGTTTGTCAATCTTGAAACACAGCTCTTTTTATGAACCGGCAACTTGAAACAATTAAATTGATGAGCAATTTAATATCTTTCAATGTTAATACGCATCTATATAATTCCCCTCCCCTCCTAATCTATAAAGAAATTTATAGCGAAAAATAATATTTTAGTCGGGAATCTCCGAGACATGTCGTGATATTCTTCGCAATAACCGATATATGAACGACATTGTTTTATGATCAACATTCTAACAAATCCTTCCCCGTTTTTATAAAATTTTTTATATACATAACATTGTTTTATGCTCAAGATTCTAACATATCCTTCCCCGTTTTTATAAAATTTTTTGTAATTTTTCTGAATCAAAAAACCTGTTTTAATGTTACATTTATTTCGCAATATTGATAAACTTTTCAGATATACTATACTAATATAAAGAAAAATGAACATCTCTTTAAATGTATCTTTAGATGAAGGTTTTGTTGTGTCTTATTAATAAAAAGAGAATTTAATCGAGACCTGATAGTATTAAAAATAAAGGGTAACGGATAAATAATAATTGTTTAGCAAAATTTGTATATCGGTAAGATATATGCTGTTCATGAAAACGTGGATTGGAAAGAAGGATTATTTTATTTACTAAACCGAAAATGACGCCTTTTTTATGGCTAATTATAAGAAGATGGTGTTAAAAAAAGTTGATAAATATGTCAGAGAAGATAGACTTTCTATATATAAATCGAATTGGATTCTATTGGATTCTATTGTTTGAAATAATGGCAGTGACTTCCAAAAAATTAATACGTTCATTCTCATTCACTTTCATAGTAAACTGCAGACGTTTGTGGAAAGAATTAAAAACTTCTAGAGTTTCTCCAGCATATATTGGAATGAAATGCCAAAAGAATATCATCTACATAACGAAAATAAAAGGATAATTGCAACGATTTAACTAGTTCACTCTCAATATCCTGGAGAATTAAATCAGCTACTGTAAGAAATTTCGGGTAAGTAAAGAGTCCATAAGTGTGCCAAAAATCTATCTGTAATAAACATTATTAAAAACAAAAAACATGAAATTCAAAACTAATTTTATCGCCGCGATGAAATCATCATATGGAATTAATGTGCTTTTTGAAATTAGATGCCACCTCTTCGAAATGCAATTAATAGCCATGTCTGTGGGAACATTTGTAAATAATGATACCACATCCAAAGATGCTAGTTTGTGTCCTTAATCCAGGCGGAAATTATCAAGTTTTTTAACCAAATGAATATAAGTTCTTATAAAGGTATGTACAATGCCATAAATAAATATTATATAAGAATATGCATAAAAATTATGCATACAAAGCCTCGAATTTATAATATCTAATAATACATTTATATAAAACAATACATTATACAGATAACATATATGTATAATGATGATGTTTAAATTTTAATTTTTTGTTATCAATTAAGCCTTAAATAATTAAATAGCATGATATTTCGTTACTTTTATCGCATATATTATCATTTTTATTTTCGGCAAACATAAGAAAACAGCAGATAAAGAAAAATAACAAGGAAAGAAAGATATTATTAAGTATAATTTAAAAATTAAAATTTTACTTTTTAACTT